AGTAAGGAAGTTATATCTGTTCTTAATAGCAAAAGCAACTCATTTCTTATGTCACTGAACTACAATCCACTATTATGTTGATTAAAAGCTGACAGAGTGGCTGGGGGCCCGTCCACCAGCCTATGCAGTTACACTCATTAGTATTCAGTAAGTAGCGTTGTTAACAATGTTGAACCAGGCACACTTACTTCCACACACAAACTGCAAACACACGTAGGAAAAAAATTCCAGAGGGCATTTAGTTTTCTCTACTTTTAATACGCAACTCAACCTTGTAATACTTTCAACAATATTGCTGTACTCTTCTTTTGGTTACAGTTAAGACATAGTCATGATATTCTCTGGTTTAAGTACTCTTTTCAGCTCTGTACTTAATATTTAAGTTTTTCAAAATCAGTATCGCCTCCACAGAAAGGCACCACCTACATTTGCAATACTACATCGAGAATTAAAAATTCTCAAGGTGCATGCTCTGAGCGTGGGTGAACACACACACACAGAGCGTGTACACCTCCACAGTCGCACACAAACCCTTCTGCAGAACATGAAGAATTCATGTCTACACCTGCATATTTACTTCAGGTCCACATCATGGACAGCATGTGCTTTTGCTTTTAATAAACTCATTTTCAAGAACTATTTAAAGCTACTATTGGAAGAGAGTTTACACCATCTTTCAAACAAATTCATGGCTCCGTTTCCCAAACAATCTTTAATGCCACCACTGACAAATCGAACCCAGTGCATGCCTACCTTGCTCTGTCCCGTTGACGCAAACTTTGAGGTTGACGTAGGCACAGGCTGGACCAACACACTGACACAAGCCACCTCTGACCAGTGTAATTTCTAGCTCTGATCCCTTCAGCTGAAGAAAGAGGAATATTACAATTACTGGAATATTGCTTTATTAAACAAACACAACCAGGTATTTTCCTTAAATAAACAACATAAGATCTTATCTTATACTAAACATGAGTTACAACAGAATAGCAGCTTTGCCACATCTTCCTTCAGAATCAGACCACTTGAAATATTAATTTAACATAAAGATGCAGCAGTATTTAACACATGTGAAAATCAGGCTGTTTATTCCTCTCTGTTTTTCTTAAGTGATAAGCAGTGATGTCAGTCTCCCAAAATATAATCCAAAAGTGAATATGCTGAAGAAAGACTCTTCCAGACTTAAATTCGGAGTATCTGAAGACAGGACCCTGCTCTCTGTCGCTGCCTGGAGAAGCCTTCATCTGTCTCCAAGGGGCTACCAAGAACAGTCAGGGCAGCGGTTGCCTTGATGTCAAGCCAGCCTTTGTGAGTATCTCCCCATTAGCAATTAGTGAACCAATTAAAACTTCAAGTACCCCAACAAGAAATGGAACAAGTACCTTCCTTTGCAAATGAGGGACAGAATGAAGAGATCTGAGAATCTGTAGCAATACTACAGCAACAGACTTATTTTGTAGAGGCCCTAACCATGTTTTTTTTCAGGCACAGGTCTCTTCTTGAGCGACACACAGGCTGGAATTACTCCAGCACTTACACCAATGTTCATGAGAATCACACTCTAAAAAATGTCTTAATTAAAATTTGCAATTAAACAAGTATGATACAGAAATCACTTAGATGAACAACTGATACTAAGTGGCCATTTCAGCCAAACTTTTTATAAATTTAGACACGGTCTCTGCAAGAGTCACAGTCCAAAGGGTGAACAGACAAACCTGGAAGTGCCACTCTTTACTGAGCTCCTATGATGAACTAGGGAAAGATGCTTATGGAGCAGTAAATCTCTTTTTATGTTTACCAAATTCTACCAGCAACTGAAAATTCATTTTTAAAGTAGCTGCTTTTCCTTCCCATCAGCAACTGCTGATTTTTTTTTTTGGTTGTCTCAGAGCAAGTATGTGGAGTTTGTAATTAAAGCCTTATATTCAAAATGGATCGAGAATAATTTTGCAGAAAGACTGATCTCAAATGTAATCAAAATACCTTTAGAAAAGACAGGCTGCATTTCATTTTTTGTCCCAGTTTTCACATATATTCAACATCATGCAGACTTCTGTTATTGTTTTTATATTTGGTGCAACAATCCTGTCAGAGTTGACTTAACTTACAAACTCACATGTGGAATTACACACTTCGTTCTTTTAACTTGCATCTGCTTTTACATCTGATGGTGTGTAATGGTCACTAAAGCATTTTCCACGTCAATGCTGCTTATCAACCCACACCACCAGGAGACAGTTGATGCACATTTCAGTTTGAATTCACACATCTCCATAGTCTTTATGGCTGGAGCTGCTAGTACAAAATGCAATGCACTTATGAACAATAAAGGCAACTCATCATAGCCATGTCTGACGCACAACTAGGAATTCATTGCACACAGCTACGGCTATCCTCAGCTATCCACAAGGGCCAAACTTCTACACTGAAAGGATTTCTAAAGACAGGTTTTCTCATTTCAGACATTTTTATTCACTGCTCTCAATGTGCCAAGCCAGTTGCAGCAGAACACAGAGTACAAACGTCTGCCCTAAGCAATCCATCTCCGCAGTCCCAGGAAGCCAGACTTCCAAGGAACATTTTACAGTTGCACTAAAACCTCAGTCATCTGTTTCTCTCTGCAACCTCAACTTTAAAGTCTAAGTACCCGACTAACAAGTCAGAGGCACAGCAAGTCTGTGAGCGCAGCAACCACCGAAACGTGCAGGAGGCAACCCACGCTGCCAAGACCACAGATGAACTCCACAGGGAGGTACTTTGTAGTGACTGAGACTCCTTAAAGTAAAATAATCACAAACAACTCCACGTTTACTTACAAAGCTGCTCTTTGCCTCCATTTACCACACATAAGCTTTGGCACACAGAACTCGAAACAAACCACTGCTCACGGTTGTGTTGGACAAACCCCCACGCCGCAGATTTTAAGCTGACAGGTGACTGTTGCAAGATTATTACGTTTCTATGAACTTAGCCATCGGTGCAAACAGTCACACAGAACTGTCCGTATACAGAGTTACTTCAGCTATTGTTTTTTAGGTTTTCCCAATCTGAAATCCGACGTTTGTGCAAATGCACGGCCTGACCCACAAACCTCCTCTCACCTGGGTTACACACCAGCTCATCATTTCCCAAACTGAACGGATGTCTGGTTTTTGCTGACATCCAGACAACAGCTATCAATTATATCCATAATCACCAGCACCTTCTGTAAGGGCAAGATTTCATTATTTCATAGACAGTGTTACTTAAAACTAATCCAACAGACTCATCTTTCAGCTTTCCACAATGTTTTTCTTCACTAGAATCTGAAAACAGAAAAATAACAGTGGAGGGGAACCACACTTGCAGAGGCATGACAGCTCTCACAGACAGACACATCGACCAACTCATGAATTGCTCATGTACAGGCAATTTTAGGGGCAGGCAGTCAGACAAGTGTTTCCCAGAACTATACTTTTTTTCCCAGTTGCTTTTATGCTCTAATTCAGATTTGATATTGACTGAACAAGAAACTGTCCATTAGCAGCATCCCAGTCAAATAAGTACCTAGGAGAAATAGCAAAATATTTTCACTGATTTCTCAATTGCAATATTCTCCACTTTTACATAGTGTTTTTCCCCATATTTGTCACTAGATTAAACTAATAGTTTTGGAAAAGGCCAAACAGAGCTTTGTTTCAAATCTGTATAACTTCTGAAGTGTAATTAATAAGTATATAGCATTTCCTTACATACATACTGTTATTAAGATGGATAAAACTAATGTCCTTTCCTTTCAACTATTTTCAGACCCCCAAGTCATTCCGTAAATCAAACTTTAAGTCTGATATATCACAAGTTCTTGTCTTTCTGGTCCAGTATGACATTTAGATTAAAGAATATTTCATCCACAATTCTAGATAAGCCTTTTGAATATAGTAAGTTTGAAAAAAAGCATGGGAAAAGTATTCTCTAAACATGCCAGTAGAAACGGTCAAAGAAAACAAAGGAAATGGTTCAAATCTGCTGCTGAAAGAGTAAGTCAATCTGCAAAACTGCGGTTACAAGAGTGAACTGCAGCAATGCAAGGGAGAAAAAAACCCAAGCATCCTCAAACATTAAGAACTAGAGTTGGTCTTAAGCCAAAAGGCAAATTTATCCTCGAAGGAGAACATTTCTAATACAAAAGCATATTAACTCAAAGAAATCAGAGCAACAGTATTTTTCCTGCCTAAACGATGCACTAATCCAAGTACAAGTAACTGTATTAAGCTTACACAGATGACCATCTGAGATGGTTATTCTGGTACCCAGTCAGCTTCATTTTCAAAACTACTACACATACAGGGCCCAACTATCTTCTTTAAACCAAAAAGACTAATATGGAAATTTATAAATATGAAACAATACCCATTGTATCTCACAAATAAATATTGACATACAATTTTTCTGCACATGAAGCCATTTGTTCAGCTAATAGCAGGTAACACAATGAGCTATGCAGTCAACACTTTTTCCTTCTTACCTGGGTTGTTTCCTGGATAAGAACTTCTTTTGAGGTAGGCACCGGGTAAGGCTTCAGGGCAGCCTTTATAGTTGCAAAAATGAAATCCATATGGTCCTTAATAACAGCGTCCAGGTAGTCACCTTCTGGATGTGATCTGTAGTACACTGCAATCTCATCTGTAGGAACCAGATTTCGCTGTAGGAAACACCAAATATACTATTAGTGACAGCAAGATGACTTCCACATACACAAACTGAAAGAAGGATACTTGGTAAGTTAAAAGAGTAAAAAAAAAAATCTTAGAAATATATTTACCAGACATTTGTTAAAAATTTCCACAAAAGATTTAGAATGAAATGATCCCTTTGTCAGAAGGGCAAGAAAGAGGGTTGAAACTGTTGAGTTTTTCTTTAAAAGATAATGACCGAATAGCATGCCTCGCTCAAAATGTCTCACTCTCAAATTTCTTTACCAGCTTTCTCCCTTCATGAACTGAAAGCCTACCAAATCTATTCAAATGCTTTTCTAGATGCCTGAGAATTTACACATCCTGCCAGCCTGAAATCAAACCCTCAGCTCTTTATTGAGCAATTGCTCAATCAGTGACAGTCTCCGAGACATTCGGGTATTGGTTTGGAAGGTGGTAAAAGACCAGACTTTTACTTTTTCACACTAGTTCTGTCACATCTCACACACTAACTATATTTCAGGAAAAGAGCAATTAATTTGAATATTAATGCTGAATTATAGCAAAATTCTGCTTCAGAAAGAAAATGGTTTCAAGGAAAAACCAGCAGCACTAAGACAACTTTCTTTCGAAAATCTGCTCTAATGAGCACCCTAGTGCCATCTCAGCAATAGTTACTGCGGATCCAGAACCTGTTTGTGGTTTTTATTCCACGTACACTTCTGTAACAGGAGTGGAATGAGTGACAGAAACGTACATTAGCACCTTGTTAATTATTAGGCAAGACTAAGTATCTTGATATTCATTTAAATGGGAATAGATTATTACTTTATGTCACTACAGAAGTAAATTTAAATCGTCTTAACTTACGAGAGAGTTTTCCTTTGATGGCCACATTCCTTACTGGTTTTATTTTTATCTCTCTCTGTATAGCTTCTGGTACGAATTTGTTATTTTTCATGTATGCTTATACTGAAAATTCAGGCAGTCTTAACTGTGCGGGTATCTTTTCCCAAAAACATGTCTCATGAAAATTTTCTCTACACATTATTTAGGGCTCCTGCAAGATCCCTTCAGGCAAAGTCTGGAAAAGATACAAATCCTTTGCCACCAAGTTAGCCAAGTTGGTGTGGTGGGCTGACCCTGGCTGGACACCAGGTGCCCACCAAAGCTGCTCTATCACCTCCCTCCTCAACTGGATGAGGTAGAGAAAACCCAACCAAAGGCTCGTGGGGGTGAGATAAGGACAGGGAGAGATCACTCAGCAGTTACTGTCATGGGCAAAACAGGCTCAACTTGGGGAAATTAGATTATTTTTTTTCCAATCAAATCAGAGTATGGTAATGAGGAATAAAAACTAAATCTTAAAACATCTTTCCCCCAGGTTCAACTTTGCTCCTGAATTCTCTACCTCCTCCCTTCCAGCAGCACAGGGGTACAGGGAACGGGGGCTGCAGTCAGTTCATCACATGTTTCTGCCGCTCCTTCCGCTTCGGGGGAGGACCCCTCAGGCTCTTCCCCTGCTCCAGCATAGGGTCCCTCCCACAGCAGACATGTCCTCCCTGAACTATTCATGTCCTCCCTGAAATTCTACAGGAGTCCTTCCCATGCCTGTAGCTCTTCATGAACTGCTCCAGTGTGGGTCCCCCACGGGGTCACAAGTCCAGCCAGCAAACCTGCTGCAGCCTGGGCACCTCTCTCCACAGGTCCTGCCAGGAGCCTGCTCCAGCGTGGGCTTCCCATGGGGCCACAGCCTCCTTTGGGCATCCACATGAAGAGTGCAGTCCTCCATGGGCTGCAGGTGGATCTCTGCTCCACCATGGACCTCCATGGGCTGCAGGGGGACAGTCTGCATCACCATGGTCTTCACCACAAGGCTGCAGGTTCTGAAATCCTTACAATTCTTTGTTCCAAGTTAAATATTACTTAACGTCCTCTCCAGATTAAAGGCTGCTTAGACTTGTCATCACCTCCACCGTGACCATACTTTCTTGGCACAAAATGGAGATACTGAGTGCAGCTCTTTCTGGATTCCTATTGGAGAGGGAAGTCACAGTGGTTCAAAGTGCTTTAACATAAAGGTCAGACAGCATTGTTTCTACGTATGATGAGAACAATTTAGAGCGGAATCGTTAATGTAGGTACACAAACTGGTGCCAGAAATGCCTCCTGCAATTTGCTAAGACCCAAGTTTGTTTCTTTCTGCAGTCCCAGGCTCAGATGTCTCGGCTCTCACCAGCCCAGCTGATGTAACACACCGGAACCGGGGACGGAACAGAGGCAATACTTGGCAGGAGGCAGGCAGGCCTGAGAGCTGCCTAACGGGGCCTGAGCCACCGCTGTGGGGCTGGAGACAGGAAACAAGGGGGGCTCAGCAAAGTAAGCAAATTAGTTAATTCACTACGGGTGATGTACAGCAAGCTCACTGTTCAACTCTAGCTACTTAGCAATATGAAAATTCAAAATGAAAATAATGATTTGTAATCATTTATGCCCGATCAGAAAGCTGTACATTAGGAGCAAATGACACAGGGTTTCATGTTTAATTACGAAGGTCACTTTCTGCTTGCAGATTGCCCAAAGACTGCTTAAAAGTAAATGAAAATGTCTCTTTCCAAACCATTGCTTCCTAACCTTTTTGCGAAGCTTCTGGATGCGATTAATCACTTCCCGGGCAACTCCTTCATCCACCATGGACTGGTCTGGGGTGACATCCAGCAGAACTAAAACCTGAGGTGATGCACAGAAAACAGGTAGATAGGTAACAAATTTGAAACTAACGAGTATTAACTCTCTCAGAAGCTCGGGTATAGTTTTACAGAGCTCCTCACTTACAAAAGACACTGCTGAAGAGAGTACTTCGTATCTCCAAAATCCAGAAGATAGTTCAACAAATTCCAGGAGCCTAATTGAACAAACAAAACCACCCCAGCTTTCACCTCACCATTTTCATGTTTCTTCTAGAGGAACTCTTCTCTTAATCAAAAAAAAGTAAGAAATGACCAATAAAATACCTGAGCATCAGAATGTGCCTCAAACTGGACAGATCCTCCTGCAACCTGATCAAAGGTATACATGAGGCGAAGATCTTCCCCATGGAGCTCATGTCCTTCTACAACAATGGTGCCTGCAGAATCGGCAGACAAAAAGCATCTCTTACAATCAGAGTGAAAAGTATTTTTTTGAATTGAAAAAGCTTTAAACAAGTTCAAACTCCAAAGACATGAAATGCAGGATATCCGCAACATGTTTGAACAGGGGTGAAGGGTTAGCAAGAAACACTGAACACTCGGATTTTTCACACAAGCACTTCACAGGCAGCAGAACTCAGCTCCAATGCAGATGCTGCAGCCACTGTTTGTGAATCATTTGAATGACACGAAATAAAATTTACAAATAACCTCTATACTCAACTAAATGAAAATTTACATCCAAGCAGTTAACTAAACAGAGCTGGAATATTCATACCCACTTGTAAATCGGGAACTGAAGCAATGATTTTAGAATAAAACCTATAGTAGATAGTTCAAGCTTGATTCAGTCCTACAGAACAACTTACTCTCGACTTCCTGTTGCTCTTACAACAGCCCTCAAACAGGAGAGCAGTGTAAGATTAGTACACACGGCCGCTTCTCATCTACTGTCAGCAAAATAAGAAAAACAACTTTTCTCCTATTCTCATTAACACAAACTTGAATAGGGATGATAACAGAAGTAGGCCTTAAGTCTCCCTAAGCCCACAGAAGGGTGTTTTTGCATCTGTTCCTGCAAATGCTTGATTAATATTCACAAACCAAGTGCGATTGCTTTATTTTTTGCTAATGAGCCAAAGGATTACGGATCTTCTCTTGGTCAACATTGCCATCGTTCGTTCAGTGGTTTGTTCCACTACATACCTGTCTCCTGGAATTCCTCCAGCTGCTCACTCTTCAGCTCTTTGATTGCAGCCATGACAAGCTTAAACGCACCTTTCAAGCGCTTCCCGAGCACCATGTGATCTGGTTCTGCTCTCAGCCGGACTCCGTACTTATCTTTATTAGTTGACAACGTCACCTGACGTACGTTCAGCTCCTACATAAATGCACCGAGAAAAAAATTGAAGCTAAAGAACAGTCACCTCGACAGACATGGAAAGGGCACAAACCAGGGGCCACGGTTCTAGGGAAATTGTAAGTCTCAAGCTGTAAATAAATGATAAATAAGCTATAAATATAAATGATAATTTTGTGTTTTAAGTTAGAGAAACACTATTGCTGCATTTTGTCTCTTTCCTTCTCTCTTTACTCTAGGTCCTGTACAGAAAAACACCTTGCTCAGCAAAACCTCAGTCCGTGCTTTGCAGCACAAGAGCTCTGAAGATCAGTATGCAGGGGCAGCCGAAAGCTCATAAAACTTGCAGGAACTTCAGGAGGGGCCCCAGACCAAGGATGTTGCTTTACCACTAGAGAAACTTGGATTTGTCAATGCTTTATGAGTAATGAGCGCAGTTTTTGTCCCTATATCTTAAGGAATATAGTGGTGCTATATATATATATCTCTCTGAAGATTCGAGAGAATAACCGATTTAAGAGAACTGCATTGCTACCACGTGAGGAAAGATCAAGGTTGGAAGTCTTTCTAGGGAAGAAAGTGGAAGAGGGATATGATAGAAACTTTAAAAGTTATGAAGGAGGTGGGTAAGGAATGTAAAAACTGTTATTCACCAAATCCCCAAATAACCCCTCAAGCGACGGAGCGTGCAGCAGAAATAGTAGATTGCTTTAAGAGATATACAAGCAGTTAACCCCTGGAACTCAATGCCACCAGAGGAGGTAAGGAGGAGTGTACCACCAAGTTCAAAGAGGAATTAAGCTCGTAACAGCAGGCACAAGAAAAGAAGTTCCAGGGACCAGGTAGGCGTGTGAATATCCTTCCATTGAACATCCTTCGTGCAATAGCTGCAGAAGGCTGACTATGACAGGAGTCCGCTGCAAGCAGTGGCCAGATGCTCGTGTTTTCTCTGAACAGACTCCACAGCTACAGCAGACAGCACAATGTGCTAGATGAGCCATGAGTCTAAACCACTAAGTCATTTCTTCTGTTCTTAATTACAAATATTCCCTCATCACAGCAGCACATGAAAAACGACCATTAAAACAAAACCACTTCTTTACACACCCTGACCATCACGCAATGCCAAATTCAGAAACACACAACAAACTTCTCTGCTCTACCCTTAACTCTGTCCAACGAACAAATGCATTACACACGTTATTAACACCACAAGAAATCCTGTCATGGTGTACCTCCTGTGGGTCAGAGCACTGTATCCAAGTGTTATTTTCTGTCTTCAAGAAAGTCTGGGTTTTCCCTGCTTTGTAAAGCCAAGTAAGAAATAAATAAAAGGAAGGACTTGATACCAAAATTTCCAGTCGCAGTCTCGTTCTCTCTATTCTTGGTGTAACGTACCATGGACGAATCTTGGAAAGTTTTAATTGCCACCATGCAACTCTTCTACAGGTATAAACCTGCACATTTCACTATCATTTGACAGGTTTTGTCTGTCGGGCTGCCTGATACTTGAAGCATTTTGTGTTTAAATCTCTACTAGAAGGTGGTCAGAGTTCACATCAACATGATAAAGAATCACCAAGCGCATTTGGCAAGGAAGCTACTCCAAGTCATTTAGGAAGCAGAAGTAAATGGCAGCATCAGCTTGACAGGACTAGCAAATAGCCAGACATTTAGATTGAGAAGTAATGCTCAAACACAACCTCTGAGCCACAGTCTGCTTCCCTAGGAAGTCCTACTGACATGAGGAGCCAAGAATACGACTGAATCTAATTTTATTTAATATATCTCTTAGGAAATCTAATGAAAACTATGTACTTCAGAAATTCAGTTTTAATGCGGTGCTGTTGGAAATGAGTGGTAAATGACGACTTCGTGGGGAAAAAAAGAAATAATAAACCAAAACATAGCACAAATTGAAAGATGACTTTAGGCCTGATTAGATAAATTACATACAAGCCAACTCCATAAGGACAAGTTTTCTATACTAATTAGATTAGGAAACCATTTTTCTGTATATATTATCAATTAAAAAAACAGAATGACTCTTAAAAAAAAAAACAAGTCTATGTTTGAGGTTTGTTTATATCTGCCTCAATATAGTGCTTTGACCTCAAATAGTTCTTAATTTTATCTTCTCAATAAATCAAAATTAGCTCCTTAACATGGCTTTCAAGTCTCACACACACAAACTGAGGCAACCAGTCCTTCCCATCGCCAGCCGGAAGACCTGTCTATTCAGCATCCACATGTACAAGGGCCTTCAGCTGGTGCCGTGTGCCAGACGTGATCAGACCAACCAGTGACCCAACCACGCTCCAAAAAACAGAGGAAGAGTCGATCCAGCCCATTCATGGACTCAAGCTGCTACATCACTCTGTACAGTTACCTGAAAGGAAGTTGTAGGGAGATGGGGGTCAGTCTCTTCTCCCATGTTATGAATGACAGGATGAGAGGGAATGGCCTCAAGTTGAGCCAGGGGAAATTTAGGTCAGATATCAGGAAAAATTTCTTTACACAGAGGGTTGTGAAGTGTTGGAACAGGCTGTCCAGGGAGGCGGTTCCAACCAGACGATTCTATGATTAAAGCGTTAACGTTGCGAAATACTGGCAGACCTTGAATCTGCTGAAGGGGAAGTCAATTGTCTGGTTTATTATAGCCATACGTAGGGGTGGGAGGTGAGGGGTATACAAAGGTTGGATGCAAACAAGATTCTGATTGTGCGTAGAGTAAAATTTACTCAGAGAAAGCCTTTCACTGGACGTAGGTAGGAAGAGAAGCCCTGAACTAGGCTTGTAAAAGGCCTCAAATACGAATGAATAAAATGCAAGTGTGTTCGGTTACTAAAAGCCTTCTGGATTTATTTCCTTTTCTAAGCCTGGTCATTTTTACATGACAATTCTATTCTCTGGACAGTTCTAATATTAAAATTCATTTATTTAAATGATTTACTATGTTCTGATGATGGAGTATGACTGTAGATCAAAGAACACAGCTACTTCTGAAAAATGCAATGAATGAAATTTTCGAAGAATTGACAAGTGTATTTTTCAATTTCTTTTGTCAGCAACTGCATGAAATCAAATGGTGTCATTTTTCTTACAGATTACCTCTGGCACCTGCAAATTTACTAGAAACACACTTCTGGCAATAACTAAAGGTTCTACAGCTCCGAATATGTAAGGAGGTTGATGAACAAAGCTGCGAATGCAGCCCAGGTAACACTGCTTAGTCTGCCTGTATTCATTGGCCTCTTCAGCCTGGAACCATCCTAGTAAACGACTTGATTGATTGCTAAGAAAAATGATAAAACACATACTAAGCTTCGGCATCAGCTTGTTGAATTTTAAGATACGTAATAAAACCAGGACAATAGAGAGCATTTTGTATTTATGCTTCCATAAAGGTATTTGACTTTGTCGTAACTCATCTCCTCATAAGACACACCTTAACCTCGTTTGCGGTAAAAAAATAATATAAATTAAAATATATTTTTGTACAATCTAATTATATAATAATTTATACAATTTTTAGGTTCTTCATTACCTTCTACTAGCTCTAGAAGTTACAGCAGATTTTGTCAGCTATCTTTTTGGAAGTAATTTGAATAAGCAAACCTCATCTCCCTTAAAATTAGATTCTGTAAAATCCACAAATCCAGTTTTCAGATGAAGAAAACATGACACTAACCTAAATTTCACAAAATTGTGCTATTGAAAAGATTCAGGTATTGAAATGATCCAAAATAACAGCAATGCTGAAGTGACACATCATAGCTGCCAAGTCTAAGAGAAATAGTCCATAAGGTCACATGACAGAAAAGCCTTACCACTCTCACTTGCAAATCAATTACGATTTTTGTAATTGAAATTCCTTTAGTGCACAACTCTTCAGAATTTAAGTCTCACAGTAACTAAAAGCAAGAAGAATAAAACGCTGATCTAAAAAAGTCTCGTGCATTGAGCCACGACTCTCTTAGCCAGTGCTCTTAAGTTGCTCCCCCCAAAATTTTCAGAAGCTGCCTCTGTGTGTACTCCAGCTTGGGGAAAGATGCTGTTGTTGGAGGAGTACCCAGTTAGAAGCTTAAGAAGTCCTCTGCTGCTTCAGCCACCTCCTGAATTCTTTGACTGACACGGTTGCTCTGACCAAGCGAGGAGAGTTGATCTTGCTTGGGTAGATGCAGATTTTTGTTCTCTTTGTCAAGGCAAAGCAGCTGATCCTGACAATGACGACTTGAACTAAAAAAAGTTCCATCATATTTTAAGCACGTGACTAGATCTTCTGTTTCAGAACCCTCTGAAGATGCCTTACTGAAAGGAAGACAGAATCCTCAACCTACCAAGGACAGGCATGTAGTAAGACCAAGCCATTTCTGGACAAGGGAAAAAAGTCCTTATATACTCTACTGCCACTGGTCATTATAATAGAGACAGAACTTATCTCACTTATCTTTGAAGACTCATTTCGCTGACTTTAGAGAACGCCAAATGTTACAAACACTTACGGAAGAAAAAAATCCATTAAATGTAAAGCATCATAACCTTATGCTTCATGTACTACCAGCAGCCCTTAGTACAGCCATTGGAACTGACTGTCACGAACACAGAATCACAGAACGTTTTGGGTTGGAAGGGACCTCAAAGATCATCTAGTTTCAACCCCCCTGCCATGGGCAGGGAAACCCTCCACTACACCAGGTTGCCCAAAGCCTCATCCAACCTGGCCTTGAACACTTGAGCATATATAAACTGATCTGGAAAGCGACAAATTCTGACAAATGAAAGATGACAGGACGGTCAAAGGTCAAATACTAGTAGAAATATGTTTTATTTAATAATCCAGAGGCCATTAAACAGAAACACAAACTAAAGGCGACTTGCTGAACCCACCAGTCCTATATTATATCAGCTCTAAGAAGTACAGAGGTCCCAAGGAAATACAACACAGTAAGAACTTCCTGAAGATAGAACGGAAACCAAGTTCCTCGGCAGTGTCAGACTCAAAGCTTCGGGGCTGTGGATGGAGCTGAAGGAACGGAACCACTCCCAGCTGTGGAGAAGCCCTACATTTCCCACCCAATTACTGTACTTGGACACACAAAAGCCATATGCTGGAAGTACGCTGGAGGTAAAAAGGACAAAGAATTAAGCTGTAACAGTAACCTGGTTTTAGTATATACGTTACAAGCGCCTACAATAAGGAAGAGGGCAGACTTCAGAGGAGAATGAAAAGTATACCCTACGGCTCACCTTTCCAGATGTGAAGTGATCATGGGAGGGAAGGGGAGGAAGTTTTCCATAAACTGTTCAGATGTACAACTACATTGATGTTCAAATTATTTTCTTCTTCTACTTTTTGCTCATTTAAACAGAGATTGTTTCAAACAAGTCGATTTGACAGAGCAAGCCATGAGAAGGCTACGCTTGCAGTTCACAGGCATTCGGAAACTGTACCAAGACTTCCACATGAAATCTCTTGTAACAGTTAAGCAATTTGATATTTTAGGGAGTTGTTAAGTTTTTGTATTATTGTACTCAACTTCTCTGACAAGGACCTTGTGTTGAGGCTGGCATCCCTTCCTCAGAGATGTTTTTATCAGGAGGTCTTTGATGAAGAAGGTTGTCTGAACAACTACCGAGGTGTTTCTGTTTTGCAAGACCACTCCTTCAGTTCTCATCCAAGAGAAAAGCTGGCATGTGTTCTGCCTCGTTGAATTAAGAGCCACACACAAATACAGCAAGATTGCACACAAGAAGGATTCGAGTGAAAATCCAGACAGATTAATACATGGAAATTATTGTCATGAAGTAATCCCCACTTTGTGTTCAAGTCTAATGTGTGCATTCTGCCCAATATCAACACCAAATCAGTTCCTTTAGAATTCTGCTGTCTTAGCAAAGAGCTGCTACTCAAAATGCAGTTCTTTCCTCCCCAAAACATACACAGTCACAAAGATGAAGTCATGGCGTATCTCCCCAGGCAACACAATGAAACATCTGGGTGAAAAGTGATCATCTGTCCCAACGCGAGACTGCTGCAGCAAGAGGAAATTACGCCTGCTTGGGAAGAGCAGCATCGCTTAGCCAGTCTTCCCTCTTCCCTTGCTGCCTGCCAGAGGGTTCTGGAAGGTCTCCAGTCTTACAACAGAGATACTATTACCTGTAACTCCCTGTTCAGCGAAGCAATTACACAGCCCCTACACTGCTGCAAACACCGAGAAATTACACATCACATCGCTCATGACGGCAAACGCATGATCATGACAGATTTAAGTGATGAGAACCACAGGTTTGCAAGATGTTTTGAAAGGCCCCAACATCAACAAAAAAGTTCAAAGACATACTGATATAGTAGCACTTTATTTTCCTCCTTTTCTTTTTGAATAAAAATACCATGGCTCATTGAAATTCATCACTGTAGCTGAAACACTTCCTTCTCACTATTCCCTCCTACTGTTTGATTTCTCTCGTACATCACAGATGTGAAAGAAGACACATATAAAGTCTATTTGTAATGAAATTTAATTGAACATAAAGACTAAAAAAAGCCCACACTACAGTCTTTTAAGCAATTAAAGGCACTTTGTGCCTTCACTACAACTTCTGAGACGCAGTACTGCAGCGATTTTACCCAGAGAGTTATTAATATCATCAACAGGGACAGTCAGGGTTTTGTTTGTTTGGGTAACTGACACACACAATCCAGTTAAGGACATCATTAACATGATTCTTACCTCCAGTATGTACTTCTCTAAAGATCTGATGTTTTCCAGGGCCTCTGGATCCTGATGGATAACAACTACTTCTTTCAAAGGATACTGGGAAGAAGAAAAAAAAAAAACCACAAAACAAGAACTTCAGAAATTATTATTCATCACTTGAAGTATTTTATAGTTGAACTCTGTTTGCTCTTCCAAACTTATTCAATTTTCCCAGGCTTATCCCAGAGTTACAAAGCTATTGCACATTCCCAAGGTATTGATAAGAGATGTTAAGAGTTCTAACCTTTACTGGAATGGTTTTTCTGTCTCTGATTACTCGTCCAAGCTCAATAACAGACTGCAAACAAGAAACGGCACTTTCAATTTTTTTGTCGATGAGATCCTCCCTAGATTAAGAAGGAAACATTATATTGCTTCATTTTCACCGTATCTGTTCGAGCAGATTGAAAACGTTTTCTCTTCTTCTCTGAGACTTCCTACCAGAGACTCAGTTATGCCCTGTTTGGGACAATGTGAAAAATGAACAAACAGGTTCTTCTCTCTTTGTGAAGATGAGGAGGAAACAACTTGCTGAAAACAAAACGCAGAGCTATTTTAAAATCATCTTTTGTTAGCACCTCTCACAAGATGGAGATGATGGATTGAGTCATACTACCAATTCTATTAACATCCAATAAAAAGTAGGTTTTACATCAATAATATCGTAAGATGCAAAAAGGATATTATACATAGGATGCTTATAATGACAATCAAATATCTATAATGGATCCAATTCACGGGATCTCAATTTATAATCTTTCCCAGGAATTCTAGATAATTCAGTTAGATGTTTTAGACAGTGAAAAAGTACTAGGATGAAAACCATGCATCCAATAAGGATTGTCCAAAAACCCAGAACTGGTAAAGCAGAACTTAAAACTGAAATATCCCCATCTTCTGCACTAGAGCTTTGATTAAGATGTCACTACCAGTTTGAAGCTTTTGTTCTTCCAAAAGCCAGTCTCCAGGATGGTCCTCCAAAAACTTGGAAACATGTAAATTGTGAGATAAAAAATTCTGCTCCCCGAAAAGTCCATTATAATGTGGCAGTATTTCAATATGACTTGCTATTACTTAACAACACTGTGGAGCCACAAAAGGAGAATAATATTCATGGATTGCACACACATCCCTAAAAATCAATGTAACCAACCTGTTCAGACACGAAGCAACCAAGTAACACCCTAGTGAGGTTTGTAACACAGGTACTGAGCCAAGTTCAGCTGTGAAAGCGGCAAAGTCCCTTAGCTTTGTCTGTACATATCCACTGTATTGTTAAAAGTAGTATTTTCTGTAACTGCATCAACAAATGTCTTTTATTAACTGATAATGTTGTCCTTATGCAGCCATCGGAAAAATATTCCAAGAAAAATGCAATGATGTGCTTAGCAACTCAAGGTGAAACTCTAAAACTTCAACAATAATTTAGTTCTGAAAGTCTGACAAAGGGAACAATTGATACATAAGGTTCTAGAAAATTACACAAACTAGTACCAGATAAAAATCCAACCACAGTACCAGACAGACAGGAAAGCCACATGAGCCACTCAGATACATCACGCGTTTGCAGGATGCAGCAGCAAGTCAGCACTAACAGCAATGAAAAGCAACTAAGCCACTTTTAAATGTCCATGCTAAGCCCATGTCTGAACAGAGTTCCTGCAAATAGCTCACTATCCTTCCATTATTCCATTCTGCAGGAGCTCACATCCATTCCTGATGGCTCACTGATGAGTTTTGCATTCTTTGATTACATATTCTTCACAGCACTTTCCCAGGGAAGGGAAAATCAGCACCATCATTATGTCAGTCTCAACCCCCTTGTTGCAATAACTCTCACTATTAAAGCCATCGGGAAGAACATACAGCTTTCTCAAAAGATACAGTATCCAAAAAAGAAACAACATTCCTAGAAGGCTTAGAATTTAAACTGGCATGTGAAGTGTCAAGGTCAGCTCCCTTGCCCCTGAGGGCTCTCAAACGGAGCTGCAATGCACAAGCCAGGTTTGCTTCACCGGCATTCAGCGACTGACCGCGGACTGAAACGCAGGCACGAACGCATCCGCTGACGGAGCACCGAGGCACTAGTGAGCAACTATTGCTGGAACACTGGTGTCTCCCTTGCCTGGGCATTAAAAACAAACAAACCCAAACCTTCAGGTGTCAGGTTCTACCTGGGTTGAGTTGGTGCTACGGATAACTAGGTGCATATGTCCAACACAACCGTCATGGATCCAAACCTTGAGACACACTGGCACTTACAAAAACCTCACCCATCAGCACCCAAAGAAGCAATCTGTGTGGAAAGCTCTCTCCCATATTATGTATCCTCCTACAAGGAAGTGTCAGTCTCTGGACAATGGTCTAAATTCTTGATGTGAAGCCAAAAGAACTCACTCCGCTGACTCCGTGTGTGGTCCACACAAAACAGTAATTCTAATCCACATGGGATCTGGCATCAGCATTCCCTAAGAATGGCCCAGAGATGGGGAATGCACATGTTCTTGCAAACATGGGGCCCACAAGGAAGTTTCATAATCCTTTTGGGCCCTTCGAGGGTACGCATTACAGTTTCTACTCAGCACATGTTTTGAAGAGTTAAAAGCATATTCCTTGGCCACCAGGAGAAGAAAACATTATGGGTTAGGAACATGCATTCCTCCTGCTTCCTTTCCTATCTACAATCCTTTAACACATCACAAGTCTACTGCCTAAATTGCGAGGGAAAAGAAAATTCCCAGCTACCTTTGTAAGCGAGGTGCGAAGTGTATCGCTGCTGAAATCTCCTACAGCAGAGAGACTAACGTTAATCAGACTTTAATCAAAACTTAAATGTTTTTTGCTTATAGGAAGAATGTGTTAACTATCATCCCAAAATTCTTCCTCAGGCAAAGGAATAGACACATTATTAAAGCAGCTTGTTTTCCTGTTGTACAAAACAGTTTTAAACACAAGTGAAGCAGCACTGTTCTGTGAAAAGAAAAAAAACAACACAAAAAAAACAAACAAAAAAATCCCACACAAAACAATCAAAACCCAACCAACCCAAAACCCCACTTTGCCACATAACATCTGTCTCTTACCTCACTCGGGGAAGCATGAGGTAGTGGATGCTTTCCGTGTTCTTCTCCTGAACTGAGGCCGGATCAATAAGCGTCTTCAGATTCTGGTACATCAGCTCAGTGATAAATGGAGTATACGGTGCCTGTAACATCGCATTTGATCATCTCCTGCTCGTTACTGTTTGTGCGTTATGAATCAGGAATAGTTATGAATTCCATACGGACACTTCAGCAAAAACAATGCTTACACGTCTTCAACGCGGAACTGTGATGTTATGCAAAATGCTGACTGAAATAAATGGTGGAATTTCTCCTACTTATTCACCTCGTTCCTGAGATTTACACGTTGCTTTTGGGCATCAGGTAAGAAATCGTAACGTCTCTTTATCAGCCAGGTGATATTTGCATTTTTTATAGTACTGTGGGTCAGATAAGCAAATAAAAGGAGAAGGTGGGAAATGAACTGTGCTACACAAATCAGTAGCAATGTTTTTTTTCTCCTCATGTGTTCAGTCTCTGTACCCCTAATCCCTGTGGTCAACTTACACAAAAAAAGATGCCTGCTTTCAGATTAACTACACTAAAAGCGTTAAACAGTTAGAGTAGGCTGTAGTTCCCTTACCATAAGTCTGCACATGGAGAACAAAACACTGAACAAAGTTTCCAAGGCCATAATGCAGTCTTCTGTCCCGTTCTCGCCCTGTTTGAAGAATTCACCGAGAAAAACAAAACAAAACAAACAACTGCAAGTTTAGGATAAGTAAGTGCACTTCAATAAACTTCAAAAGTTTCTTATGTTAATGCAATGAGGTGGTTTTCCAAACGGTATTCATTTTGCTCAATCCCATTCAGCAAGTAAAATTGAGTTACCGGGCATTTTGTTTGGCCATTTTTTCCAATAAAGCAAAGAGGAGGAAAAAAATGAGGTTAACTTCTCATTCCCACTATCAGGTACAAACCAACATAATCTGAAACACAGCATAAAGATTTTGTGTAACACCATGAAGCTGCTATAGAATCATAGAATCATAGAATGGTTAGGGCTGGAAGGGACCTTCAAAGGTCATCTAGTCCAACCCCCCTGCAAGGAACAGGGATATCTCCAACTAGATCAGGTTGCTCAGGGCCTTGTCCAACCTGGCCTTGAACGTCTCCAGGGATGGAGCATCCACCACCTCTCTGGGCAACCTGTTCCAGTGTTCTACCACTCTCATAGTAAAAAATTTTTTCCTAATATCCAACCTGAACCTACCTCCCTCTATTTTAAAACCATTACCCCTTGTCCTATCATAACTGGCCCTCCTGAACAGCCTCTCCCCATCTTTCCTGTAGGCCCCCTTGAGGTACTGGAAGACCGCTATAAGGTCACCCCGGAGCCTCCTCTTCTCCAGGCTGAACAGCCCCAACTCTTTCAGCCTGTCCTCATAGGAAAGGTGCTCCAGCCCTCTTATCATCTTTGTGGCCCTCCTCTGGACCCTCTCCAACTGGTCCATGTCCTTCTTATGTTGGGGGCTCCAGAACTGGACGCAGTACTCCAAGTGAGGTCTCACAAGGGCAGAGTAGAGGGGGAGAATCACCTCCCTCGACCTGCTGGCCACACTCCTCTTGATGCAGCCCAGGACGCGGTTGGCCTTCTGGGCCGCAAGAGCACATTGCCGGATTATGGATTAAACTAACACAGACTACGTGGGGTTTGTTTACAGTACAAGATTGCAGAAGCAGATTCTTACCTTCAGCCTTCTGCGATTCATTCTGACGTACCAGTTAGTCAGAATATCCACAAACTTCACCAGCCGCGGGACCACAGTGTACAGCCGGTACGCTGGAAGGAAAGACGTTCACTGTAGTCAGTATTTGCCTTCTGCATCAAGCTCTTCACTCCAAGAAACACTTTATCATTTGTAGCTCTGGTGCTAAACATAAAACTTGAGCAGAAGTGTGTACGTTACTAAGAGCAAAAAAGTGATTAGACATATTGATCTGTTAAAACCGTATTTTGAAATTCCAAAATTCATCAGTTCTCATGCTTCAAGGCAAACACGTCCACCACCAAATTGCTCCCCTAATCCTACACGAACATGCATTATGGAAGCCTTATGCTTTTATCTGACTCATAAAGAGGATAGTGGATAAGAGACTATTAATCACAAAGGATTTGGCAAATCCTAGATTTGCACATGCTGTAAATACAGCCAAGTCACTAGAAGTTTAACAGAAATTATTGAAGAATCATAAAATAAATTTTTATTATCGATTACTGCCAACAGTTTCTTTTTTGTTTGCTAGATTTAAAATGAGACACCTATTTCCATCAATTCTCCCTGAATTACGGGCAAATTTTTATTATTTTTCCAAGTAACACGGTAGGCTAAAAGAATGTAAAGTAACAGCAAGCCTGAAGAGGTAAGAAGATAAACATGGCTGTATTTTCAGGTTCTGTGTAACTTAAAAGCGTGGAGGACTGCCAACACGAAAAAGGAGGTCATCGTGAGCATCGCTACGCAACTGGGTAAACAAATTTCAGTTGTTCATCAGAGAAATGGGGGGTGAGGAGGGACCTTAAATAGGATTCAGTTTTCTAAGGAAAAGCTTGTATATACCTTCTCTAACAGCAAAGAGCTTTTTGATCTCTCTTCTGAATCACTGTCATTAATCAAGCAGCTACTGAACGAAACGGATCTGCTTTAAAAGCTCCACTACACTTTCATTGCATTTTCTAAAATAGAAGTGCTTTTAAAAGGCAGAGTACTGGTATTCAAACCTAAAAAGGAAATGCTCAGAAGATTCATGCCATGGTGAGGAAGACATTATTTATGTGGGAATACATATTCCTAAAAAATTCCCAGCTCTGTTCTAGCTCTGTGTTATCTAGTTAAGACTGGTTAAAAACAAACCACAAAAAATCTCAAAAGAAACCACCCTTCAGAGAGAGTGCGTCGTTAACAAGAGATTCACGTTAGCCTGGAAACACGCATTTCTCCCCTCAGCAGCTGGAATCCCAGTTCATAAATCAAATTGTGAAATCCTACTTTCTCATGACTCCATGTACACAGAAACACACGCACATGCACAGAGACACACGCTTCTTGCAATTTCAGTCATCAGGAGAGAAGTCGTTTTGTAAAATAATGTCCTGTATTGGGCAATTCTAAGTAAGGAAGAAAAAAAGGCATAACAAGGCTTTACTGCTTTTAAATATGGAATTGTAACTCCCCTTAAAACACAAAGGATTGCCTGCCCTATTACTTTCCATAATAGCTTCCCAATAACTTACTGCTTCCCTGCTTATCAAAGGGCCCAAATCCCACAAGCTTCCATCATAAAAGATGGGGTTTGGTGGAGAAACTATACCGCTGTTCAACAGCTAACAACTCACTTGGATAAGCGAGTTATGATGCAAGAGATGCGGAGCGAGCTACACCAGCTGCTGCTGAGGAGGTTACTGGCACACATCTCCCCGACGTGCAGCACTCCTGAAGAGAGCATGTCCACAGCTCCAATTCTGGGCACTCATTAAGCCAGAGATAACAGGCAGCAGCAAAAACCCTCTTAAACACACGCGTTATGGTTTCAGCACGTTTAGCTTGGGCCAGTTTTTCATTAGTAACACATCAGGAAGGAGTCTCAGTTCAATTGTCTCCTTTTCTGTAACTGCCTATGTTCTAGAAGTTAAAAGTTCTCCCCAAGCCAAGACCAGCAGAGGGTTTGTTAGACCTTCCCAAAGTTTTTCTAGGCTCTCTAAAGCATCCCGAAGTTGGAGCGTGTGCAGGTCCACTCCCCTCCCCAGCCGCAGTCCATTCAAGTGAGGTCAACACCAAACTGACCGGGACTCCTGCTGCCTGTTCATGCCACTAGTGAAAACTGGGGCACAATCAACACAAGTTTTACTTAATGGAAACATTTCTCTGGAGACAGGCAATCAGTGTAGAATTTAGTTCCACTGTAAGCTACGCTTGATTAAAGGGAAGAAGCTAAAGCTCAATTGCAACGTCTTTCTTGTTAGTGGTGTGTCCTTCCCATTGAGAGTTTCAAGCCTGTATGTTCCCTGGAGGTGTTCAAGGCCAGGTTGGATGGGGCTTTGGGCAACCTGGTGTAGTGGAGGGTTTCCCTGCCCATGGCAGGGGGGTTGGAACTGGATGATCTCTGAGGTCCCTTCCAACCCAAACCATTCTATGATTCTCTTTGCAATTAATATTGTCTTAACATAATGTGAGCCCTGAGAGGTATGGACAATGAAAAAGACAACATGCAGGAAGAAAAACCAGGAGAGCATCTGTCTACAGCTAAGCAATATCCTACTGCTATTCCGTCCTGCTGCACACACTCCCAACAAGACTACAAAGAAACCCTCTCCATGGAACTGTGCATGGAAAATGTATTCCCCATGCCCGTGTACATCTCAAAATTATTTTATTTAGCTGACAAGAGCACCACCCATTTTATCCTTTTTTTACGGTTTTCCCAAATTCTATTTGGCTTCCTTTTCACTGCTGCCTTTCACTTACTATTAGTAATTCGATTAATTGCTCCAAGCACTGCAGAAGATGTTGTTACAGCAACAAGCAACATCTCTGAGCTCACAGGATTAACCGTGACAAAAAATCCTCATTACTTTTTGAAATCTCACGAACAGGCATAGCAAAATCTGTGTTAACACCCATGAAGACAGCAGTCCTTGTATTACGGCAGTTGGTTAAAGATTTCCTCCCTTTTATGTGAACTGTAAGTCTCCTGTGGAATCTGAAAAATCTCTGGATGAAACGGCTAGTTCTCCAATCGACAACTGAACACCCGTGCACACACCCGAGCAAACACGTGCATACCTGCCATTTCAGCTTTGAAGAACTGAATGAGGGATTGGGTGAAAGAAAGAATCCATTTATCCATGATGTTATTACTCTCCTTAACTGTGTTCTCATTGTAAAGGAATTCTCTTCCCTCATCCTATCATCAACATAAAAACACAAAACACATTTTCAAGTCATAAGGGTATATATTCAAATCTCTATACCGAACCCCCTGTCAGCCACTAACATTTTGTCACCTTCGCTGTGTTACACCGGTTTTCTGAGAAAGAAGATTAAATTCCAGAAACAGGTACGTAAGAGAAATAGCTAAGGAAAACCTGACTCCCACAGCTCCAGATGGCACCACACCATGCCTTCAGCTACAAAGGAGGTCTGTTACTTGGATCTGTTAGAACAGACAAGTACAGCGCACAATGGTATGCAGTTGTTCTTTCCCTGTTTGACGTATAAGTCAGAGCTTCCAGACACAGGGTAGGACTCTTGGATTTACAGAGCTCATCTAGGAGGATCTGAAGCATTTACAAGAAACGTACTGTGACGATGAATTCTATTTGGAGAAAGAGTATATAAACAATGTAATTATTTGTCAAGAGCATGTGACAATTTCAACAGATTAAAAGACAGAAGAAGGTAACAACCTCAACTGAAAAAAGAGGTGGAGTTTTTAGGCATCCAACATGCAAATAGTGCATTTTTTTTGCTTTCCAGAACACTGATGTTTGCACCCATCTGAAAAATTTCCTAACACTTTGCCGATTCTGTAGGGCATTGCAAGCGAGACCACAACTAAGGACACCTGTCAGTGCCTACAGTCTGACTCTTCTCCATGTGGACCTTCTTACGACTGGTTGAAAACAAAGGGTATGTTTCTTTTTTTCAGATTTACAAACAGTATTTACATCTGGTTTTAAAAGCCTTTGGACTTCCTCTTCCCCTCACGGTTCAGATAAAAAAAATCTGATCAGATTGTTCAACCCAGTAATTATGCATCCACTTTCATAATATAAAAGCTTCTTGGGAAGGAAATGTGTCTGCACACACAGAGGTGCAGCAGCCTCAGCGTGGGGTCAGCGATCATTTAACCAGCGACAATTACTGTGGTAATTACAGTAAGCATTAAATGATTATTAGACTTAATCCAGGACACTGGGACTGTAGTTTCTCTCTTGTAGGAGGCAGAGTACAATGAAAAAGTTGTTTAAGTCTGTGCGTGAAATCTAATTTAAGCACTGTCACCTCCAATAGCACATTCTTTTGCCTAATATGGTGCATAGGAATGGTTTCACTATCCATTTAGAAAGAAAAATTCCATCTGCTGAATTACCAAAGCTATCTGCTTACGCACCTGGATTTTCCACTGGGGTCTTCCATCCCCAAGTTGACTGATTTTACAAGATTTAATGGGATCACAGCAAAAAGCTGCAAAGCACACTTGAGATAATTCAAAGGTCAAACAGGAAAAACAGAGATGTATTTTTGGGGCAATGCATTTAGATTAGGTATAAGAAAGAAATTTTTCACTCAGAGGGTGGTGAGGCACTGGAACAGGTTGCCCAGAGAAGCTGTGGATGCCCCATCCCTGGAAGTGTTCAAGGCCAGGTTGGATGAGGCTTTGGGCAACCTGGTGTAGTAGAGGGTGTCCCTGCCCACAGCAGGGGGGTTGGAACTAGATGATCTTTGAGGTCCCTTCCAACTCTAACCATTCTATGATTTGTCTGACAAATGCTATCTAGGAATCCTAAGAAAAGATTTCTTAAATATTAGGATCTCAAGTTACCAGACATTCTTCCCGAAACGGGTTGTTAAAAAGATAAAACCACTTATTTAAGTCAGCTACTTACTGTAGTATTCATTGAAGTCAGCTGCCTTTATTGCTTCAACTGGCAGTTCTCCAAAGTGATTAGGCTGCTACTGTAATTTCATGTGTCGTACAAGGTTTGAACTTTTTCGCTTAGCTCCCACTCTCCCACAAAAGTCTGCACTGATAAGTGGTAACTTTCTGTCATTAATCTCAGCTGAAGCATTAAAATGGGTTTCAACAGAAGCTATATAATATACACATAACATCTCCAATTTAAATGAAAAATTACTATAGGAAAGAAATTTTAATCTTGCTTTAGTTCTGAAAATGTAGAAACTCAAGTCACTCATCCAGCATTTTTTAGTAGACTTCTAAAGTAATCTAAAAGTCTGAAGCATTATTGCAGATGATTTACCTTTCTTCCCATTCTATTTCTTTTTTTTTTTTTTTTGTTCCTAAGTCGCATTTGCATAGGCAATCCAGGAGGTTCCTGGAATACATGGATGATAACTTCCTTCTCCAAGTGGCAGAGGAACCAATGAGGAGAGGTCTCACCAACAAGAAGAGGCTGGTGGGGAATGCGACACTCAAGGGCAGCCTTGGCTGCAGTGACCATGAAATGGTGGAGTTCAATATTCTTAGGGAAGCAAGGAGGGCGCACAGCAGGCTCACTACCCTGGCTTTCAGGAGAGCAGACTTTGGCCTCTTCGGGGGTCTCCTCGGTAGAGTACAATGGGATGAAACCCTGAAGGGAAGAGGGGCACAAGAAAGCTGGATAATATTCAAGGATCACCTCCTCCAAGCTCAGGAGCAATGCATCCCAACAAAGAGGAAGGCAGGTAGGAACACCAGGAGACCTGCATGGATGAACAAGGAGCTCCTGGACCAACTCGGACACAAAAAGAAGGCCTACACAGGATGGAAGCAAGGACAGGTAGCCTGGGAAGAATACAGAGAAATTGTCTGAGCAGCCAGGGATCAGGTTAGGAAAGCTAAAGCCCTGATACAGTTAAATCTGGCCAGGGACATCAAGGGCAACAAGAAAAAATAGATGTGTCAGTGATAAAAAGAGATCTAGGGAAAACATAGGCCCTCTCCGGAAGGAAACAGGGGACCTGACTACCCAGGATATGGAGAAGGCTGAGGTTCTCAACAACTTCTTTGCCTCAGTCTTCACTGGCAAGAGCTCCAGCTGCACAGCCCAAGTCACAGAAGGAAAAGGGAGGGACTGGGAGAATGAAGAACCACCCACTGTAGGAGAAGATCAGGTTCGAGACCATCTAAAGAATCTGAAGGTGGACAAGTCCATGGGACCTGATGAGGTGCATCCGCGGGTCCTGAGGGAAATGGCAGATGAAGTTGCTAAGCCACTATCCATCATATTTCAGAAGTCGTGGCAATCTGGTGAAGTTCCCACTGACTGGAAAAAGGGAAACATAGCCCCTATCTTTAAAAAGGGGAAAAAAGAAGACCCAGGGAACTACAGGCCAGTCAGTCTCACCTCTGTGCCCGGCAAGATCATGGA